CCACATTGAAGGAGAGAATGAAGGAAGGTCAGTTGGGAGGTTCAAATGAGACCACCACCAAGCTGTTCCCTGGTTCTTTAGTTAGGATGGGGAAGTGTACTAGTAATATTTGTTGTATTTATAGTACCAATCCGAGTGTTTTGGCTAATTCTATTTTTATGGGTTAGTCTAAAAGTTTCTGGGAATTGACTTACAGATAAACCGAGCCCTGCAGAGCTGTTCTTTTATTGAAATTTCTTGATTTGTCTAGGTGTAATTCTGTGTAGCTTTAGAATTTAACTTGAATTAAATCTTCTACTTGGTGAAGTTTCGAAGATTCTACTCAGTTAATGGATTTAGTTCGTGTCTGGAGCGTCCCTTGAGTTTGTTTTATTTTTGTCTTATTTTATTGCTTGTTTTAACAGTAGCAAAATAACTGTTTTGTGTTTACACTTTGAAATCTGGAGTGTTAACCAGCTCTCCTGTTGAAATATCTACTTAATATTTCTCTCCTTAATTGCTGCCTTTTACTACAGTGGCAATCTTAACTGTATATCACTTTTTCGTGCTGGAGTGACAACCAGAAATGCTTGAGAAAAATAATACTCTATTTTCTTACTTCTCTGAGGGGGGCAAAAAGTCACAGAAAGGGTCTTCCTTTTATACCCCTGGGTCGCCTTCCTTTTTCATGCTCTACCTTGTATTTACAGGATTTATTTACAGTGTATTTTTCTCAAACTGAATAAAAAATGAAATTTTCACGCTATAGTTCTACTGTGCTTTGCTGCACTGAACTGCAGCTCTACTGTGGTCAGACTGCGCCTAGAATCCTTATTGTCCTTCCTCGCCTAAGCTATTTTATTGGTTAATTAAAACTTGACTGTGCTGCATTTGTCGCAGTTTCCTATTATTCCTCATATTTACCATTGAATTTGCTATGACTCGGTGATTCTGACTTCAAACTTCGCATTACTATGCGTACAGCTGCACTGAGACCTTCAGCTGATTTATTCCATTTTTATTCAGCGACATTTAGTTAAAATGAGACTTGAAATGGTAAATGAGTGAATTATTCAGGTTTAAAACCGAAAGAAAAAGTTGCTAGTAGTCAAGAATTACTCAAACGAATGGATTATAGCTTTCCACTTCATTATAATATCATTCCCTAAAATTCCTGCCATGGTCCGTCATAGTTTAGTGGTTTTCATGGATTTCGTTCATCTTCCCTGATTCCCCTTTGTATTATCACATCCTAATCCTCCATATGTATTTTTCGTTGTTATAGTAGGTCGTCCTCAAAGATTTCATATTTTTATGTATTTTATTTAGGGCTCTGGACCTCTTGAAGCTGTCTTCCCGCGCGTTTTCAGGTTTCTAACTTCATGTCCTTGTATCCCATTCATTTCTGGATAGTTTTTCACGTTTTTGGTATCATAAATTTTTATTTATTCCCACCTTTCCAATGGTACTAAAGTTGTGTTCTATTTCCTGGTATTCGTCGAGTTAGCAAAAGTTCATGCACACATTCGGTAATCATGTGCATTGTTCCTGTAGTCGTTTGTATGCGGGCACCATTTCTGGTCAATTGTTCAGGATTTATGGTATGCATGGGTGTTTGTATCCTTTCCGTGATTTATTTCAGATTTTTCCCTCATAATCTAAGGTTGTTTTGCACTTTCCATGGTTTGTTTTGACCAGGCTCTTCCTTATTTGGATGGAAATTGGTCTTCACGATCTGCCAAAGTGCGGATCTCGGTTCTGACGGCCGGTTCCCTTCGCATTGCCACCCTCACGTGTCATTAAACATGATGCGGATTTCTGTCATATCCATACAATCCCGACCTCCACTCCGGGCTCCCGGAACTCCGAAACTGATTCCGGAGCCCTACTTCCCTTCCGTCACCTTCTCCTTGCCGACTCCCAAGAGGTTATCCCACCTCCGGCTCCGACACCACCATTGGTCCGACTCCGGAACATTCCGGGTCCGACCTCAACTTCGACACCTTCCAGACAAGTACACAACACCTATGCTCCCGACTCCGGACCTCCGCTCCGGAATCCTGTTCGCGTCTCTGTCTCCGGAACCTCCGGTCTTAGCTCCGACCTCAGACTTTGACCCCACCTCCGCTTATACCCATTAGCTCATTCCATTTAATTGCCTTTGCCAATATTCCGGAGTTTAACTTCCGAGTTCGGACTTTCCGGACTTACATCGGACCTTGCAACTATTGCATTGTCCTATTCAATTCCGCTATTCTCCCTCACTCCTATTTGGGCTGCTGCTTCCTTCCTATTCAGTCAGCTAGCCATTCCCCACTCCCAACCTCCTTCCTTCCTCCTTGGGCCTTGGCCCTTCACTCCTCCTTTGGGAAACTGTCAGGGACAGCTCAAGGAAGGCAGAGGTAGTGGCATAGCGCTCAGTGCTAGCGGCCTGGACGGCAGCGAGGCGGTGAGACCATATAGTGGGCAGCCCTCACTCGGGCTTACGTCCCTGTGTGGCTTCTTAGGCTGAAGCGGGAAATGTATTGTTATTAGGGTGGGAAGCTAGACTAAACTAGGGTACTTGCCTGAAGCGGGAAATGAGAAGAAGGTTACTTCTTCAGTCCTGCTTTGGCTTAGTTTATATACATGTGTGAACGGGTCACATGGAGGTGCCACATCACCCTCAGACGAAGCTGGGTTACCACAGGTGGCTGTTAGAAGTGGGCGGATTCAAATGACTCTGGAGTGGAATCGGAGACTTAGCGTGGAGGGACCTTGGCCTCAGCGACTCAAGCGGAGCGCTGTGCCATTGCTGTTTGTCCATTTGGTCCTTAATTTCACAGTAGGTGAGCAGGAAGTCTCTAGGGGGCATTTCAGGTCGATTTTGGACTGAACCCACAAGTATGTACAAGCGCCGATATATATAATGGAAGGGGCAAAAGCACAAGGAAACAAAGGGGAACTGAATCGGAACGAAGACGTCCGAACGGGGACAAAGGGAAGAAGGAGCGGAGCGGTACCGAAGGTCATAAGGAAGGACCTGTGATACGTCCGAAAGGAGGTAGGGAGGGCAAGGCCCAGAGGGGCAGGAGGATGAGGAGAAGTGGGGATGATGACTAACTGGCTAGAATGGGAAGAAGCAGTAGTCCAAATAGGGATGAGGGGTAAACGCGAGAGATACATTACAAGCGGCAAAAGTGCTGAAGGCGATCCGCGAAGCTCAGGGGTTGCAGAGCTTACGGGGGTTACGGAGGCGGGGTTGAAAGTCCGAGGGATATTGGCAATGGTGTTTACATAGTATGAGGTCACCAATGCAATGGACTAAGACCAAGGTGGAGTCAAAGTCCGAGGTCGGGACTATGACGGAGGCTCGGAGCGAAGGTACGATCAGTGTCCGAGTAGGAAGTACGGGACAGCGGCGGAAGGTCGTAACTTGGCGGAAGGGTGGCGGAGGAGTACCAGAGGGAGGAGAGAGGGGAAAGGTAAGGGGGAAGGAGTGGTGGAGAGGAGGGTTGTCAGGTCTGAAGGCGAGTATCGGAGCGGATGGGGGAAGCGTAGGAGGATTATGGGAGGGTGGAGGCATTGCGGAGGGGGAGTGGAGTAGGAGGAGGAGGAGTAGTAGGAGGGCAGCGTGGGGGGTAAGGAGGAGGTGTGTTTCCAAGACCGAAGGTGAGTATCGGAACGGCAGCGGTAGGTTATGACTCCGGAGGTGAAGAGGGTGGAGGTCCGGAAGTCGGGTCGGGGTCGGGTATGCACGGATATGACAGTGGCTCCGCAGTCGATCCCGAGTGTTGGAGGGGAAATACAAGTAGGGGTGTGTGGCATGTCCGGCATTGTGGTGCCCCTACGGGGTGCTCAGCATTGGACGCATCCATTGTAGGAAAGAAAGAGAGGTCATCTGTAAAAAGAGAAGAAGGAAAGAAGAGAGAATGAGAGGATGAGACAAAAGGAAAGGAGGTGGCGGCAGCGGCAGCGTGCCCTGACAGAAACACCATTGAGTCAAACCCTTGACCCTCGGTGTTGTTCCTCTTTCCAGCTCCCTTTGTCTCCTTTCAAAGTACCCTCACTCCTTTTGATTCCGGACCCCTCCTTATATACAATGTACATAGTAACTTGTAACCTCAGTCCAAAATCGACCTGAATTCCCCCAAGAGACTTTCCCTCTGCTAGATCCGAAATTAGGGACCCCCAGGACAACCAGCAATGGCACAGCGCTCCACTTGAGTCGCTGAGGCCGAGGTCCTTCCACGCTAAGTCTCCAATTCCACTCCGGAGTCATCCGAATCTGCCCATTCTATATTCCCATCATTGGTATAACTTTACAACGGCTGGACCGTTTGAGCTGAAAATTTGCATAACTATAGTTTCCTATTTTTTATAATTTCCGTGTAAATTTCGTTGTACGTTTTAATTATGGATCCTACGTAAACATCGTCTTTTCCTTGAGCTCGGACTTTTGATGTCGCTATTCCCGTTATTGGATATCTCATTAATGCATGATCCTTTTATTATGAAAATTTGGGTGGATTAAGATTAGATCCCTTCCTTTTTAATGGGCTATCAAGCTCGTCTTGGTCGTTACTGGTTATTCTTTGCACTTGCTTTTTAAGCGTTGTCCTCGTTTTGCGGGAGTTTTAGTCATATCTCCGTCGTTTATGGGTAGTTTTCCCTGTAATTACTTTTATTGGGTCCGTTTGGGGGACATCTACATTTCCTATTATAAACACAACTTTGAATTTTGCATTAGTTCCTGAGGAATCCTTGTTCCGTGGTACTTCCATCCTTGGCTACGTGTGCAGATGCGGGAAAGTAGTTTCTGTGGAGGTTCTCTGATTGTTTTTATAGTCAAATCTTGGTCAATTGTCCTAATTATTTGTTTAATATTTGCTATAAATTTTCCCGAGAATTCCGTCTTGTTGATGCTAAGCTTGAAGTACTTTTGCTAATTTTCTTTCTTTCAATTTATCACATATAGTCATAATACTTCGTAAAAATTCGTTAAAATTCATTAAAATTCAGGTCCTTCTATTTTCTCATATCTACTTGTCGTATGGGGTTTTGTGATTTATCTGGCATATTTCCATAATGGGTTTCCATAGTGTGACCGTTATTTCTCCTACAGCGTGTCCGATGAGGGAGGTTCCCGAAGGTCCGTCCTTGCCGCATCTGCGCCTGGAGTGATTGAACCTTCTGTGCTGGTTGTCTAGCAGCAATGCGTGCTGCTTCCAGTCTTCCCAAGTCGTTGGGAATGGGTGAGACCCATAGATGGACTCTCGGAGGCAGTGGGTGATCGCTCGCTGGAACTTATCGATCAACCCGGTCTCTCCTAGCCCCGAGGGTGGTCCGTGGAGCTCAAAGAGCTGAATGACTGTCTCTACCAGGCTGATTCCTTGCCTAGCGTCTGATAGTTTCTGCATCGCGGTCGCTGCTCGATTTGGATCAGCGAACATATCTTTCAGCTCTTGGAGGAAATTGTCGAGCATAGGGATGGCAGCATTGGAGGAGAGGTAAGCGTTGATTTTCTGGGAGGCCCAAGGGGCTGCTGTCCCTTCCTTCATGTGCGATAGTACGAACAGGATCTGTTGTTGGTCATCAGGATACTCAGTATGGTGGAGAGATAGATACAGGCGGCACTGTGCTAGAAAGTCATCTAGCCTTTCCCTGTCACCATTGAACGGTGACGGGGTGGCAACTTTGGGAGGTCTCGGAGAAGGGGGGAGTGCTTGGCCTGCTTGGGTGGCCTGGGCAGTGAGCAGCGCTTGGAACAGCTGTTGGATTTGTTCCTGAGTAGACATAGCGGTGTCTGATGCGGACTCAGGAAGTAGGTTGAAACTTTCTTCTGATGTCAGAGTACCGAGCTGCTTGGTCTCTAAGTCGAGGAATCTGGAGCTCTCGCTGGAGCTGAGACCGAAGTGGAGAGGGTCGGTTTCAATGGGGGAACCCGATAGAGCGGGTTGTGATGGAGATTCCAGCTGAGCAGCAAGGGGGAAAATGAGAGAAGAAAGTTACCCACCCCGCTTGCTACTCAGGAAATGATAAGGTCGGGGTACTCAGCAATGCGGGGCCGCTTTACAAGAGAGAATATATTACATGTCTGTGTCAGTCCAGGGATAGTGATCGGGCAGTGCTGGTCTGGGGTTGATGTGTCATCAGTAAACAGTCCAGACCCGGTTGTACCCTGACAGATGGTATCATAGCGGCACTGTGTCAGGGCACAGCCCTTGACCCCACTCACCCTCAGACACCCTCACCCTTCTCCTAACCACCCTCTCTCCACATTTCCCCATTTCCCCTTATCCTTCCCCCCACTGTTTCACATAATGACGCGCACGCGCGAACCCGTGGGAACGTTCTGGGCGAGCGACTCGCCCAGAAATGTACAGCCACAACCGTGGGAACATTCTGGGCGAGCAGCTCGCCCAGAACTTTCCCACGGGTCACACCCGTTATGGAAAGTCGGCAGCAAGCGGGAACTGTATAGTTCCTAGGGTCCTTTTGTGTCGGCCTCACAGGGGGCTGAGAAGCTTACCCTTCTTCTCAGCTCATTCCCTGTGAAGGCAAGTGTACTTACCCGCTTTTCAATGAATACCAGCTCATTCCCTGTGAAGGCTGAGGCCAGTCCCCTCAGCGACTTCGAGGAGTTAGCACCTGGGGAGAGTACCCCAGCTTCCACACCCGGCCTCGCCCTCTGGCCACTCCCAGCTGGGGTCCAGATCCTGACACACTGGACTCAGAGTTGGGCTGGAGTCGGGCACGGGAATGGTAGTGGCCCAGTGGGGGCCAAGTGGGTGGAGTAGAGGAGTCATGCTGGGCATGGTGCCAGAGGCAGACTCAGGGTGGGGAGGTTGGTGTGGCAGCAGGGGAGTCGGCCAAGTGTAGGGGAGCCTAGGGGCAAGCAGGGAAGTGAGCAGGGAGTCCTCAGGGAGGATAGGGCTGAGGTTGGGGCTCACGCTCATGCTTGCATAGCGGGCACAGGCTTGGGCGGCATTGGGACAGGCCGGGAACAGGCCGGAATGCACGGCCATGACAGTATGCATCTTTTTTCGTGGACTCCAAAATGTTGCCTGCAATTTGCTTCACCTCTCCATCGTGGCCACACCTGTTAAAATAGACCGGTAAACAAAGCATTTCCGACACATCTTCCTACCAAGCGTCCTCCCTGCACGCCATTTATGGATTATGCCTGCTCTTGAATAAGGGACTATCTCGGTCCAGTTTATTTCTTGGTTTCTAATGCTAATTGGGTTAGACACTGGTCCGGGGGTCGGCACCGAAGGTCACCATTAGCGGGCCACTATAGGCCACGATGGCCATGATGCCGTGAACAAGGCCCGAGGGTAGGGCATTTGGCCTCAGCAACTCTAAAGGAGCGCTGTGCCCCCTAGCTGTCTCTTGGCCCTCATTTCAGACTTACTGGGGTTGCCTTGCTGGGGTCAGGACTTGGGAGTCGTGGTCAAATCAATATTAGAGCTAAGGTACAATAAAGTAACATACAGGATATATATAGGGAGAAAGAATGAATGGAAGTGGACCCGGGCCAAAGGGTCCGGAAGCAAACAGGAATAAGGAGCGGGGTTGGCTGCATAGCGGCTGGCAATGACCGAGGGTCAAAACAAACAATAACAGGTAAATAAAGGAAGGAGTGTAGGGCTGCGATAGCGGCGATGGTATCGTAGCGGCGCTGGACTCGGAGTTGGGCCGGAGTCGGGTGCAGGAATGGTAGCGGCCCTGTAGGGGCCAAGTGGGTGGGGTAGAGGAGTCGTGCTGGGCATGGTGCCAGAGGCAGACTTGGGGCAGGAAGGTTGGTGTGGCTGTGGGGGAGTTGGCCAGGTGCAAGTGGGGGAGTGAGCAGAGAGTCCTCAGGGAGGATAGGGCTGAGGTCGGGGCTCACACTCACACTCGCATAGCAGGAATGGGCTCGGGCAGCATCAGGATGGGTGGCTAATGGGCCAGAATGCACAGCCGTGACAAATTGCCAATGCAGGCCATGACAGTTTTACGAAGTGCTTATATGTGTGCATTTCCTGTCCGAATAACAGTTTTTGTAGCTGAATCTATGTCCTCAGCTTCTCTGAACTACAGCATGGGACAAAAACATTCCGCACTCAAACATCGATGCTGGTGGCCATTTTTAGCCGAGTACATATGGAATGCATAGAGCTTAGGAGCATTTTTGATGCAATATGGGAACAGTTTATAGGGTTCTTCGGGTTGGTGAGATCTCTCCCATCCCTCACCGATGTCTGGCCTGTTTTTCAGTGCGACTATGGTGGACCCATGAAGCTTCCTCAATCACATCAGTCCCCTGACTGTCCGAATCCTTCTAAGCCTCTTGTCATGTCTAATCAAGATTATTTCAGGGAGAACACGGAAGGATACAGGAAAAGTGATTCCCAAGTCGACCAAGGATGCTGACAATCTTGACGGAATCGCAACAGTTGAGGCCACCACCTCTATTCCCAGGAAAGACGGGTGCCCACTTGGCACAGCACCAATGAAATAGCACTTGTGCCCCATGTTGCCCTCGTTGAAGACTTCATCGATCGGGGCCACTCTATCAGGAACTCCGTGGGTTACACTCAGATAACCCCCTGTGGTCTCTAATGAGGAAGGGGCAAGTGCATTGAAGAAGGCCAAGAAATTGAAAACCAGGAAGAATAAAATGAACAAAGAAAAAGATGACATTGATGACATTTTTGACGAGTACTTTTCGGATACCATATGTTTTATCCCTGGCACAGAAACTGTTAGAAGTTGCAGCCCAATGCCACTGGTGGTCAAGGGAGTCACCTGGGCCGGACATTCACACTTTGGGAAGGGGAGGGGTGCTTTGAGGCATGAATGGCGGCAACCTCTTTGACTCTTTGTCTTCGCACTTTTGTTTTCAACTTGTTGTTTACCACTCATGTTTCACCTCAGTGGCGTAGAGTCATTCCAAGATGTATATAAGGACTGGACTTGCGCTAGCAGCTGATACCTCACTAATTGAGGTGTCGCACTGCGCAGTTATTACAGAAACAAGTATTAAACTCGCTGGAACTAATGGTATGTATTCATTCTTGCTATTCCATAGCGTGCCCTGCTTTGGAATTTCATGCGAAAGTTATATCCCTGGAGAAACGACCCTCAAGCACGGGATTTGATCTGTTGACAAAACCTATTCCGATATGCGGCATGGACAGAGTTCGTCCAGGAAGAGACATGTGTCTCATTCGATATGGCATTGTCTAGACTCAAGTTAGTCGACAGATCATTATCTTGACATGGGGCTGTGTAATTGCAGGTGTTCTTTGGCGGGGGCATCAGTGTCGATTGTCAATGTCAAGGCCAGCACGATGCTGTTAAGGATAGTGAATAGATACCATCACCTAAAGTAATTGACAGAACCCTATTCATCACGAATCCTCCTAAACCACAAGGTCTGGTGTTAATCAAAGGCAGATGGAAGATATCCCAAGGCCAGAATGTTAGGCTAGTTTGTTTGTCTGACCTGCAGCTCCAGGCTGCTAGTGACAGCTGCCCAGAGCAGGGCTGTTGTTTGTTTTATTCTGGATATTTAACCTGCAGAGCTTCAGGCTGCTCACAAGAGCGCCAAGGGCAGGGGTCTCGAGAAAAATACATGCAAATAAAGTAAAAATAACAGATAAGTCCGATCTGAGAACACTCATCCTTCTTTGTCCGAATGAAACCCAAACCATATCCAGAGTAGGGCTGTGTAGGGTGGTGTAATGGGTCTATCCAGCTAGACTCGCAACTCAGGTCTGGGGGGGGGTAGGTCTCTCTCTAGTGTCAGACAGATGTAGTGGGGTCCCTGGGTATGGTGCTGATAACCCTCTCTAACTAACTATACAGTGTCATGGAAGAGTCCGATACAAATAGAAAAGGAAAGTCACATGCATGAATGAATGAAAATAGTAAAGATAATAAAGAAAATGTCATATCTCCTCAACAACCCAACCAAATCCAACAATCTTAGACTCGTCAGAACCACCTCTACAACCTCTACAACTCCTAATATTACCCCGACTCACCAATCCTAATCCCTGATGCAGTAAAGGGTGAAGTGTGCAATCAGGCTTGTTTTAACCCGCACGGACTTGTCCCCACAACAGCGGCAAGTGTGGTAAGTAATCCATCACAATGTGCTTGGCCAACTCCGATGCAGAAATTACATTCCCTCGCAAGTTAGCAGGCTCTTTCGCCAAATTCTGGCATCTTTAAAATGCAGCAATTAGCATTCGTTTCCCAGCTATACACTGGCCCTTTAGGACTACACGATCACCGAGCCCAAAATTCATCTTATTTAACACTCCCCCTAATACCCATGTCAATCACCATGTCAATATTCCAGGTCCAATCCTTACAGTGCTCATCAACATCTAGGCTTGACTCCAGCCGACACACAACCATACAATCGTGCTCACTCTGGCTGAGATACTCCAGCGCAGTTTCGTTGCGACACTCTATTCCATATCTCTGTTAATTCACCAAGTGTCAGTGCGCACAGAGAACCTGCCCCTTACACGTTCAACCCATGCATGTCTCCATGTGGCATCCCTACTCATGCATGGGTTTTGTACTCACAATGCCTGGAAATTGAGCCTGAATATTGAAAGGTCCCAAGAGCGGTTGAGCCACGGTGTAGGGAATGGATGTGTGGTGATGCGTGCTGTGCACGCTTTCTTTATTCATTGTTTATTACTCTTTATTTCTCGATGTAAACAATGTATATAAATTGCGGGGAAGGGTGAAACAGGTTTTCACTCTTCTCCTCCCCTGTCGAAATTACAGCTCTGCATTAATGGACCATGTGTAAGGTCGGTTGAGGTTCTGACCTTGGTGTTGACTCCTGCTATCCTCAAGCTGTCAGGAATTAGGCAGTATAAGGAGCTCAACCAATAATGATGTGATCTATCCATTTCCTGGCCTCTTCCTCTGCCCTCGTGCCTCTTCCCGCTGCCATCCTAGTTGTCAGGGACAGCTCCAAAAGCGGCGAGGTCCCTGCGTGTGGGACTTGGTGGGACAGATAGCGGCTGTGCGTAGCGGTGATCCCGTTGCAGGGTGAGCGTCCCCGACCACTTAGGCTGAAGTGGGAAGTTGAGAAGAAGGCTGCTTCTTCTGTTCCCACCCCAGGTGCTATTATATACATGCGGCTGAGGTCACGTGGGGGGAGCCACGTCATCCCTGCACACAGCCACACTCCCCTGGGTATCTCCGTGGGAGATCCCAGAGGTGTGCCGCTCTGCGAGCGGGAATGCGTGCGGTGGGCACGGCGATCGGGGGAGCGGGGGTAAGTGTGTAGTAATACATAGAGAAGGGGAAGTCGACCATGGAACGGAAATAGAAAGAAGGAAGGAAATGGGAAAGAAGAAACAGGGAGTGATAGTGGGGGAGCGGAGTAGGGCGGTGCGGCGTGGGGTCAGGTGGGGTGTGCCCTGACATCACCCCCCCCTTAAGCCGCTTCGCCTCGAAGCAGCTGGGCGGTTCTCTCTTTCTCTCCCTGGGGCATGTGGGTGTGTCCAGTGGAACTCCTCGACTAGATCTGAGGCATGGGTTAGGTCGTCGTGCGTGAGCCATTGGTTTTCTGAGTGTGGCCAGCCTGTATACTTTACCAGGTATCGGAGTTTTCGGCGTAGCCACTTAGAGTCCAGGATTTTCTCGACCTCATACTCCTCTTCTCCATCTACGAGGTCTGGGCCCGGGTGGGGGTCAGCGGGGTGCTCCGCGATTTCATCAGGGCAGTGTGGTCTGATGTTCGTCATGGATACGACTGGGTGGATCCCCCTTTGTCGGGCGGTGAGCCGGAGTTTGACGGCGGTGGGGGAGACGACTTTAACAATCATGAAGGGGCCAGTCCATTTATGGTCTAGCTTCTTGGTTGGGCGATCGGTTGTGTAATTCTGGGTGCTGAGCCAGACCCGGTCGCCTTCTTGGTACGTAGGGGCCGCCTTGCGGT